AGAATTAAAAGAAGACCTGGGCAAGAAGGAAGAGACTAGAAATAACAGAATCTGTCTAAAGAAACTGGACAAGAAATCTTGATGAATACATTTCTAAACATAGAGACTGTGCTGACTTGCGATTAAGGAGAGAAAAGTATGGTAGAAAGGAAAATCTATAAAGACAGTAGACTATAATAGATCTTATTTGAAATACACAACAGCATTTCTCACTATGAGTGAATGTGTTAAGTTTGAGAGGTCTACGACACATCTATGTGGAGAAGTTGATAGGCAGAGGGGATAAAATGAGTGAGGAGTTAAGAAGAAAGGTCTGGGCTAGAGATAGAAATTTGGGAGTTGTCGGCACACAAATTGTACTTACGCCATGAGACTGGACAAAATAACTGAGGCAGTGGCTATAGATCAATAAAAGAGGCATAAGCCTGAGCCTAGGGGCTCATCAAAATTTAAAAGTTGAGAAGATGAAAATGACAACAATAAACTAGCAAAGGAAGACTAGAAAGTATGGCCAGTGAGGCAAGAAGATAATAATATTTCAGAAACCAAGTGAAGAAAGTATTTCAAGAAGGAAGGAGTGATCAAATGCTGTACAAAAGTAAGAAAAGGACTGAAATTTAAAGATTATAAATTCCAGAATTTGAAAAGTGACTCAAGTAGGACTTGCTAATTAGTGTCGGAAAGTCAATGATTAAAATTCATATTCAATCTAATTATCATACATTCAAATCTAATAGTCTGTAAGATTTTTATCGTAGAAGTGTCATTACCTGATCTTGCAGATACTCATCCACAGTACCACCATGTCTAAGATTTGCTAATAGCATTTCAGCAGCTTCAATTCCAACCTTGTCTGCATTTACACCTTAAGACATGCACAATGTAAAAACAAACAAACAAACAAAAAAAACTAATTACTAAAAGGCAAAAAGTTTAATTAATACATTCTAGTTAGCAACGGTATACATTTTTTATGGCCTCTGAACCCACCTAATACACCTTTTAGAATAAGATCTCTAGTTATTTAATCTTCTGAGAGCTTGGCATATGCAAATACTTTGTATCTTTAAATGCACTAGTGTAGGAAAACATAGGCTGCTTTGGCCCTATTAAAACACATTAATTACAAAGCCAGTTTATAACCCTCTAATGCTATAGCTCAATTTCAAAATTTAAAACTTGTGATTTATACATGTTACAATTAGTCTGTAGGCAATTCTACCAGAATTTAAGAATTTTTTAAAAGTCAGGAAATAGGAAATTAAGTTTTATCTAAAGAAGAGCAATATAACATTCTCAGATCAAATATTTTAGAGTTTTATTTCCTTTAAGATTTGAACAGGTATAATCTTATTTTGAATGTAAGTTAGAATACTTACCACCTTGCTCTCCCCTTCCTGCCTCTACACACATACCCCAAATCTTTGGTACAACACTGAATACAAAATAAGTCTGTCAGAAGCAGTGAAATGTCACAGTATTCTTTCAAGGTATTTACTCTAAACTAAAAAATCCTTGGCTACAAATTCTTTTTTTGTTTGTCTGAGGCAGGGTCTCGCTCTGTTGCCCAGCTACAGTGCAGTGGCATCACCATAGCTCACTGTAACCTTAAGCTCCTGGGCTCAAGCAATCTTCCTGCCTCAGCCTCCCAACATGCTAGGATTACAGGCATGAGCTACCACATCTGGTGAAAATGTCTTTAAAAAATGAGAATGTGTAGGCCAGGCGCGGTGGCCCACGCCTATAATCCTAGCTCTCTGGGAGGCCAAGGCGGGCGGATTGTTTGAGTTCAGGAGTTCGAAACCAGCCTGAGCAAGAGCGAGACCCCGT